TAATAATAATAATAATAATAATAATAATAATAATAATAATAATAATATAGCTATTATTTAGTAATTTTCATTCATTTACATTTTGTTCTTTTCATGCACATACTCAAAAATGTATAATAATACCCCCCCCCCCCTAAAAAAATTGCTTTAGGTAATTTCATGTGGAAATATCAAGCACTTGCTAAAGTTTATGCTAGTTTGTTCAAAATGAAAAAAAAAATCAAATGTAAATCAATACTGTACTTATGTCAGAATGACAGTTATCACTGCAGCTAGATCCCTTAAAAACAGTGTTTCTGAGGAGATGCGTTCATTTAGAAAGTTAGAGCCACTGAGGGATTCTGCCAAGCTAGGTACTGTTCATCCTACTGTCAATTTTAACTGACATATTAATCCATCTCTCATGTGGCTGCCTTTACTGAGGCAGGTACATTTTAGCAATCAGGTGAAAAGAACTGGATGTTCTGCTTTTTACGAAGAGTGTGGGAAAATTCACTCCTTTAAATATAATGAACAGATAGTACACGCTGAATGTTAAAAAAAAATGAATGCAAAACAATACAAACATTCAGGCACTAAGCTTATAAATGAAATTTGCTTTCCACTATAAACAAACTTTTAAACAAAAAGTATTAATCATTTTCAACATCATTCTTCTGAAAGAATGAGTAGATTCATCTTACTGTCAGTATTACTACAGTAGCATTCTTTAATCTTTTAAAATCAGTACTCACTTATGCTTAAAATTGACTACAACAGAGAGAAATTGCCCCCAAGAAATATGGTTATTTTTATATATACAAAGTTTCTTAATATATGAATTTCCTAAACCAATAAATAAATGAATGATAAAATCTGAAAACTCTTCATACTACAAATTTCTCTGATGTTTAATTTGTTACCATGAAGTCAAATTCCTCCAAGCTCTCTTTATTTTTATTTTAGCAACTCTTGCTGGCTATTTTTAGCAATGTCTTCTTCAAGTACATCTGGCACAAACAAATGATTTCTAGATTTTTGAGGAAATAACTATTCCTCTGATATCATGAGCTGGACACATATTGTGGAAAGCTGAAGGTAACAATAATGTATTAATGCTGAAAAGGAGAAGGTTGCATTCAGAGAGAAAGTTACTATTTGTGGTCCAGGCAACAGAAAGAACAGAGCAATAGGTATACACAATTCACCTGTGGAAGTCTTACATGAAAAAATGAAACAGAGGGTACAAGAAACAAAAATCTTGTTGGTCATGTGAGGTAGTCCTAACAAGGAGAAGCAGAACTACAAATTATAATTTTATTGTAAGGTTACAATAACAGAATCTTGCAAGTCTGAATGTACTTTTCCCTCCTCTCAACTTTACAGTCCAAGAAACTAAAAGGTGGGGGGGGGACTTCTGAAGAGTTTACCATGCCCCTATCTCTTCTGTGGGCTCAGCTGCCCCTTGTCTGACAATTGTATGATATGAGGCACTTCCTCCTATTTCCCAAGTCTATTCTCACATAATATTATAGGAGAGAGACCAAGAAAGCACAATAATTTAGAAGCCTTGCCATACAGGTGAAACTAGAAAAATGAGAATATCATGCAAAAGTTCATTTATTTCAGTAATGAAACTTAAAAGGTGAAACTAATATATGAGATAGACTCATTATATGCAAAGCAAGATAGTTCAAGCCATGATTTGTCATAATTGAGATAATTATGGCTTACAGCTCATGAAAACCCCAAATCCACAATTTCAGAAAATTAGAATATTACATGCAATCAATAAAACAAGGATTGTACATAGAACAATATCGGACCTCTGAAAAGTATAAGCATGCATATGTACTCAGTACTCAGTACTTGGTTTGGGCCCCTTTGCAGCAAGTACTGCCTCAATGCAGCATGGCATGGAAGCTATCAGCCTGTGACACTGCTGAAGTGTTATGGAAGACCAGGATGCTTTAATAGTGGCCTTCAGCTCTTCTGCATTGTTCAGTCTCATGTCTCTCATCTTTCTCTTGGCAATGCCCCATAGATTCTCTATGGGGTTCAGGTCAGGCGAGTTTGCTAGCCAATCAAGCACAGTAATCCCACAGTCATTGAACCAGGTTTTGGTGCTTTTGTCAGTGTGGGCAGGTGCCAAGTCATGCTGGAAGATGAAGTCAGCATCCCCATAAAGCTCATCTGTGGAAGGAAGCATGAAGTGCTCCAAAATCTCCTGGTAGACAGCTGCGTTGATCCTGGACTTAATGAAGCATAGTGGGCCAACACCAGCAGATGACATGGCTCCCCAAATCAACACAGACTGTGGAAACTTCACACTGGACTTCAAGCAGTATGTGCCTCTCCGTTCTTCCTCCAGACTCTGGGTTCTTGGTTTCCAAATGAGATGCAAAAGTCGCTCTCATCAGAAAAGAGGACATTGGACCACTCAGCAACAGACCAGTTTTTCTTTAGCCCAGGTAAGATGCTTCTGATGTTGTTTGTTGTTCAGGAGCGGCTTGACAAGAGGAATACGACGTTTGAAGCCCATGTCCAGGATCCATCTCTGTGTGGTAGCTCTTGATGCACTGACTCCAGCCTCAGTCCACTCCTTGTGAAAATCCCCAACATTTTTGAATGGCCTTTTCCTGACAATCCTCTCCAGGCTGCGGTCATCCCTGCTGCTTGTGCACCTTTTTCTTCCACTTTCCCCTTTCACATAACTTTCTATTAATGTGCTTTGATACAGCACTTTGGGAACATCCAACTTCTTTTGCAATTACCTTTTGAGGCTTTCCCTCCTTATGGAGGGTGTCAATGATGGTTTTCTGCACAACTGTCAGGTCAGCAGTCTTTCCCATGATTACGCTTCCTACTGAACCAGACTGAGAGACCATTTAAAGGCTCAGGAACCCTTTGCAGGTGTTATGGTTTAATTAGCTGATTAGAGTGGGAGCTGTAAGCCATAATCATCTCAATTATGACAAATCACGGCTTGAACTATCTTGCTTTGCATGTAATGAGTCTATCGCATATATTAATTTCACCTTTTAAGTTGCATTACTGAAATAAATGAACTTTTGCACGATATTCTAATTTTTTGAGTTTCACCTGTATTTACTTGCAATCAATGTTAGAAGTTCCATCCCAACTGAGCTCTCAGCTGAACCTAAAAGTCTATGCCAACCAACCAACCAAGCAACCAACCATTATGAGATTATATGTCTTATTAAAGAATACAATAAACCCTAAGAAACATAATGGAACTTAATTTTAAATGACCATCCATGTAGTGGATGTGCTGCATATTGATTGTGCTGCATATTGATGATAGTGCACAGGTCCTTCCCTCAGTGGATGGTGAAGACCATATTGCAAAGCTTGGATTAACAGCTAATTTGATTTGTCCTCAGATGGGAAAAATGATACCAATAGCAATAACACTTAGACTTATATACCATTTTACAGTGCTTTACAGCCCTCTCTACAGAGTCAGCATCTTGCCCCCAACAATTTGGTTCCTCATTTTACCCACCTTGGAAGGCTGGAAGACTGAGCCAATCTTGAGCCTGGTGGAATTTGAACTGCCAAATTTGGCTGGCAGTAAGCAAAAGTAGCCTGCAGTATTGCACTCTAATGACTGTGCCACTGTGGTTCATAGAAGATACAGTATATGTTCTTTGAAATGGAAGAATATATTCTTAGAACAACTAGATGGGAGCCTCCTGAATTTAGCTGGAGTCTACTGATTTAAAACCCAAAACCACAAAACCATGTTGTAGCTAATGCCATTTTTTGCCAAGAAAACTTTTTTTCTACCATGAAAAAATATATGAAAAATTATCTACGCCTCAGTATTTATACCTCACCACCATCTCACACAAACAACACACCAGAAGATAAAATTATCAATACATTTTTTTTTAATTTTCAGAAGAAGGAAGCATGGCAGGCAGAAAGGTATTAAACTATGACCATTTCTGATACTGAGCAGAAGTATCAGCTGGAAAATATATCCTACTACTGAAAAAAAAAAGTTGAAATATTTTTCCTCCCTCCAAATTTTTCTGGCCATAAAAGAGAAATGCAAAATTTCAAAATTTCAAGCAGATATGTTCAAATTTATATGACCTTCAGAAGGCTCTATATTTGCCCTTCACCTACCTCTAACATTATTTTAGAATGCTATATTCTCTGGAGTAATGAAATGAAAAACAATTTATACCCCTGGAATTTAACATATATTTTTTTTTGTAATGGTGTAGTTCTCAAAAAGAATATTGTTTTATGGTGCTACTCATAGTATATAATAACAGCAGAAACTTAACCTACTTCAAACAAGAATGGCTCCTTTATATATAATACATTATTAAACAAGGCAAACCTAGACATTTAGAGTATGATTTCTAAGGGGAAAAAATAGATGAAAAAACCTAACTGGAAATAAGAAAGAATTCTGGGTGTTTACAACTATATTGATTGTAATTAACAGTCAGGATATATAATGGAAGGGAAGACTATAATTTGCAAGCAAATAGTTTTATAATAATGTTTTATTGATCTTTTATTCTTTATGCTTTTGTATATTAATAGTCATTTTTCTAAAAAAATAATTGCAGTTCGTAATTTCATCCTTATGATTCATATTGTGCTGCCTATAGCTTTTACTGTTTGCATTTTACATAGAATTTAATTGTGAGTCCTACATTTTTAAATATAGCTTATGTGGTGATCTGTATTCACTTACTGGGTTATTGGAAAATTATAATTTTAACACTTTTGCAATTCCCTTGTTTATTCAACTGATTCTATTCCTTCATTTTGTTTTTGCTGTTTTCCTTCTGTTTATAAATTTTCCCAAAATGTTGAGTATATGTTCACTGTGTTTGTATGCATGCATGCGTGTGTATATATGTGTATATTTTACATGCATACAGACACACAGTCAGCCCCCATCCATCTTTCTTCAAATTTGGGGCGGCCATAAGGGAGGATTGGTAACTGTGGGAATGAAAGTAAAGTGAGAAGGGAGGATAGCCACAACAACATTCTTTTGCCAGAGCCCAAGACTGAGTGGCTGGAGGTTGGAGTGGAGTGACCAGACTTGGCAAGAGTTCAGAATCGAGGTGGATTGGAGAATGTGACTTGAGAGTCATCAGTAAGGGGGTTGGGTGTGAATTTAATATAGCAGGGGAAAATGCGGAAATCCAGATTCGTGTTTTCCCAGATGTGCCAATATGACTTCTCTAATAAATTCTTACATGGATGAACTTTGTCTCTGAGTGCTGAATTGAAATGGAGAGTTTGGTTGGAACTCTGACACACACATTATTTGGAATCATAATGTTATAATGCATTATCAAAAATCTCTCTCTCTCTCTCTCTTGTGGCTTGTCAGCAGCCAGCCCCTCTAGCAGCCGAATCAGAGGAGGAGGCATGGGAATCAGTTCAGCATCAGGGCAAACTGGGAGCTCCCAGGGTGGGGGGAGAGAGAGATACAACTAGAAAGAGAGAGGTGGAACCTGGGCCATCCATCAGCTCTCAGATGGAGAGTCAACAGCCCCCAGATCTGGAAGTGGTCGATGATGAAGAAGAGGAACAACTGGGTCCAGTGCCTGACATGCGGCTGCGCAGAAGGCAGAGAAGGGGAGAGCAGTGGAAAGCCATGGGCTTTCCTGGGGAAAGAAAAGAGCTATCGCTGCTAATGAGGCCCCACCCTAGCTCTGGAGATAAAAGGCAAGGGGTAGAGATATATAGATGTGACAGACAACTATCCATCATCCAGATGGAGAGACTTCTTAGCCTGCGAAAGAAACTTTTTGCTGGGATTGCAGCATTCCTGATAAGGGGATCTTTTGCGTTCATGTCAGAGGGTTTGTCATGTTTGGGGATCTGGGTCAGAACACTATCTTTATTTTCTTTGCAGCTTTCAGGCTAGTTCCTTTCCCAATGTATCTTGGTAGAACATAGATCACACCGTCCAGCTTTTAACTACTGTTTGTTATCTAAATAGTAAATGCTGGACTGGTTAGAAATCACATATAAGGTAAGTTCAATGCCAAAACTAGATGAGTTATTCCTTTTTTCCTGAACTAATCTAATAGTTCTTTATGAAGTTTAGATGAAGACATAGAAGGCAAAAGGGTCTCTGGCAGAGTTCCTGAATATAGTATATTTATGAAGATTGCAAGGCTCTTCATACTACCCTTTCCTGTTCTTGAGATAAACAAGTTTCAGAGCTTCAAAAGCCTGAAGCATGGGAAACTCAGACAAGCTGGTGTTTCTTCAGTTTAGCTGTGGTATAGCTACAAAGCTAGGTTTTCATTTGTGCTTGGGGCTTGTTGTTGTTTTTTTGAGGGCGGCTTCATTTGGTTCTGTTTTCCCATTAGACAGAAATGTTTTCATAGATCATGCTTCAAGTTCTTTAAGGGAAATGCAGGTTGGAGATTTTTCAGCCTCTGATCTCTACTTCTGATAAAAATAACCAGGAAGCTAATATTATTTTATCCTATTCTGATCACAGGATGACTTGTATGCTTTACCTGCATGCTAAAGAGTATTCTGTTAACATCTTGTAGAAATGTTAAGGTGTGAGATTGTTAAGGTGAAGTCTAAATAAGATGCAATGACTCAGAACTTCTCAAACAGTAGTTGAACCCCTGAATTTCATGCAGTTACATCATCTTCACTGTTATGGTTAAGGTTTTGAAGCAA